GACTACGAATATATATGATTTTCACATACGAGAACCATGAAGATACATCGCATGAAAATCTACTGTATTTCCACTAATATCTGTTATTTGTTGATCCATATATATATCAATTTTTTCTTAACTGGTTTTTCTGCAGGAATTCGTTTCACTGTATATTGTAGAATTTTTAATTTGTGTTTCCCTCTGTTCTTTATGTAATTAAAATCAACAGCAAATTTTAATAGTGTTTTTTGGTTAGTAGAAAATAGTTATGATTACTATATATTGTAGTTATCCTCTATATATTAATACAGGAGACATTAAATTAAGATTCTAGGTGTCATCCAAAGAGGATTTTAAATAATTTTTAATGAAAACTATTAAAACTTCTTAATGACATTATTGTGTAACTAATTAGACTAAATTTATATCATATATACAATATATAATTATTAAACAAATATGAAAACAAGGAATATGGAAGATTTTATTTAAATAATATAAAGTATATGACCTTATTTTCTTTTCAATGACTCTTAGATTTTTTTGACATGCTTTAAATACAAGATTAGAATATTCAAAAAAAGAAAAATTCATGTTTTTTTAAATATATTGGAGAAATTAAAAATAACAAAGATATATCTCCAGTATAGATAAATATATTTTATTTTACAAAATTTGAAATGCCATTTTTGAGATGCCACTTTTTAAAAATGTGATCATTTTGAAAATTTCTTTAAAATGCCAATAATCCTCAATATATAAATTGAATAGACATTTGGTGAAAAAATCATATGTATTATTCAATGAGGGTTTTAAGAAAAATATCATTTAAATTAACCAATGAACATTTTAATTAAAATTATATGCCATGGTGAAAATCTCTATATGTTTTTATTAATTTTATAACATAAATTCATTAATACATGTTTTACAGAATTAAGTTTAACTAAATGTAATATTTAAACTTACTATATCATGTATATATTTTTTAAATTCATATATTAAAAAGCTTTTTATTATTATATTTCTAACAATAATATTTATTTGTAGATGATTACTACACTTACAAATATTTTTACATTTTATTATTAGAAAACATATTTTTTTGTTTGTTACGTCCAACATATTTATAAATCTAAAATTTATTTACTCTACAATTTACACAAATAATAAAAGGGACAATTGCAAAAATGCCACTTTTAGTGTGACATTTGTAAAAATGCAACTATGGGTTATCCATTTGTAAAAATGTCACTAATTATGAATTTTTAGAGCTTAAATCTTAAAATTCTAAACCCCAATAATGTTATGACCCCTAAAACCCTCTAAACCATCAAAACTAAACTCTAATACAACATAGTAAATCCAAACATAAATGATATAATGAATAAATAATTTTAAAAATGTGGTATTTTTGAAAAATGGTACTTGAAAATTGGCATTTCTCGAAATTTATCATAATAAAAATCAGTTTTACACTTCAAAAAAATTGAAATAAATAACATTTGCATTAGTTTTAATGTTTTTATACAAAATTGATCAATGCATATGACATCACATATGTTTTGTAAAAATTTAATTTTATTACATTTATACAAAATACATATTATTTTGTACGTTTATAAGTATTTGAATACACGTCTAAATATTAAGATCGATTAGAAAATATATTTAAATATTTAATCTCACGATTGGCGTGGATCAAAATCTAC